TTGTTATCTCTTATTGGGTGTTAATTTTGTTTTGTCAATATTACAGACTTGTACCAGCATGAATCTAGTCTTCTCATGTCCTGTTGCTTTCACCAGAACTGTTTCTGAATCTTCACATGCCACAGTCTGCAGTGCTGAGCATATCAAAATTCATGAACATTTCACCCATGCTGCTTAAGTTACATAACATGTACTGTGAACAAGCTTGGTCTTCTGAAGCAACATTAGATTGCATCATTCCATAATATAACATTCCATACTAAATAGTTAATAAAAACCAAAAGAACTGTGGATGCTGTAAATCAGGAACAAAAATGGAAGTTGCTGGAACAGCTCAGCAGGTCTGGCAACATCTGTGAAGAAAAATCAGAGTAAACGTTTTGGGCCCACGACCCTTCCTTAGAACACAGAAATCGGACCTGAAACGTTTACTGATTTTTCTTCACAGACGTTGTCAGACCTGCTGAGCTTTTCCAGCTACTTCTGTTTCTTTACACCAAATAGTTGCTTGTCTGAAATCTCTGCTGGATCCAGTGCTTGATTTGGACAACTTAAATGAATCTATACACATTGCATTTCTGGTAACATTAACAATTCCCATGATTTTAGCATAGTCATCCTGATAATTCCTTCTCAATATCAAGTCAATGACTGGTCCTTTATCAGATGGTGCATTTGGTCTTGTGCTCCTTCAGGGCAAATTACTTTTTCCATTCTAGCACTAGTTTTTTTAACCAACTCCATATTGCCTCACTGCAAAGCAGCTATTTAATAAGATACCAAATATTATGACTTCTAAATTAGAGGCAGCTTCATATTTCACTCATTTTTCTAGATGACCCATTTCCATTTAGCACTCACCATGCCATACACAGCCTGCTGTGTAGCCATGTCTTAAATGCCTGTGAACCATCTTTACAGCATAGGCAGTACTGCCTGTTTGCACTAAGTTGGTGCATAAAATCAAGGGGGTAAAACATTCACTTTTTGGGGTAGACAGAAATCGAGGTTGGTTACTAATGACGGCATAGCATTTCATGCTGAAAATGGGAGGTCACAGTATGCACAAAAACATGTTTTTTAGTACTTTTTCCACACCTTGACACAAAAGACAGGCAACTGACCTTCTTCACACAAAGGCAAGTATAGGATAAGATTGCTTTCATGTTAGCCACCAACCAGGAGGCTGGTGAGAAGTTCTGAAGAGACTGGGTTTGTGGAAATGTAAGGTACCATTAGATTGGTCCTTGCTTCTGGCAATCCGTTTCAGCATAACTACAATAACTACAAGAATAAGTGGAACAACATTCAAAAGGACATCTGAAGACTTGCCCTGGCATGGCAGGGAGAAGGAGCTGATATAAAGCTGGAATGAGTTTGGAACTTGGTCTGCAAGGTCTGCATACCTGCTGGGAGAATGCCATGAAGTTAAAACATGTCAGAGTATTTTGGCTGGGTTATTAGTTAATATGAAAACAACTAATACATCAAACTAAAGAAAGGTAAGTAAACATTAGTGTTAAATATTATTTGTTTGAGTTTGTTTCTTTGTTGCCATAAAGGTCTTAAAACATGTGATCACATCCTTTGGTCAGTCACTGGGAAATCTATTGATCTCTACGGGGCTTGTAACAGTCCTATTAAAAAAGAGACTGAGCAAAACAAAAATTGAATTCGGTTACAATCTACAGCTGGGTTCCAACTTAGTCAGATTTACTAAACAGATGGAAAAATAAACAAACCTGCGTGGCTAAGCTGAGAACTTGCTGCACGAGTTCCTGCGTCTCAGTAGGTTTTTTTAAGAACAGTTTCACAATAGCTGTCAAAAGCTGAAGCTGAACCTATCACAAAAGACAAAAATGCCATGAGAAACCATGAACTGTATTTCACCTGACAAAAAGCTTTACTGATATATTTTCTAGAAAAACAAAAATAGAACTCCATTTGCAAGCATACCCTGTCAATGAAAATATATATCAGTATGTAACAAACATTAGTAATACTGAGTATTATAATAAGTAATATTCTGCTCTTTGTGTACGGTCCTAAGGCAGTGGTGTCCAAGTTTGCAGGGGATACTAAAATAACGAGCATATTAAAACAATTCTGAATGTTACAGGAATTTGTCTACTAACCACTTACATCCAATCATCATCTCCTTGTTTGAGTATACTGAAAAATGGAAGGTCAACTTCTTACCTGTGTGCTTTCATCGTGGAATCCTTCCAAGAAGCTCTCTAATAGTTCATCAGCATTGTCGATTCTTTCTGCGTATTCACCTACAATCCAGATCATGGCTGCTCGTGCTTCTGGTTCATCCAGCGAGTCAAGATTTTCACAAAGTGTAGCAATAACACTTTCATACCTTGATTTATAAGGCACAAGACATTTTATAAAAGTACCCTTATCCATAGAACACGTCAGCTATTTCACTATTTGCATTGCATTAAAAATGAGGAGGAAATGGAGTCGGGGCCCAACTTGATTCTGGAATGCAATGGAGCAAATCTCTTATACAGCGGAGTATAATCCACTCTTAGAATCAAGTGAGGTCATTGCTGAATTTACACTGCAACTTCTTTTGTAATGGTAATGCATGTGCAATTTTTATGCAGCCCAAGATTCACAGAGTTATTATAATTCTATAAATTAAAATGCATTTCACTATTCAAACAGGGTTAAAGACAGAATCAACCAGCAGCAGAAATCAAAAGTACAAGTGAGCTAACCATCTACTAATGGGGCAAAGTAGAAAGAGTGTACAGAAAATAATGCAACCATGTCATTTTCACGTGGCGTAGGTAGTGTGTCTCAATTCTAATTTGTACCATAGACATGTCAAACTTAAGGTATTAAAAAGACTAGTTTCAATTGCAGGAAGATTGGGACAAACAAATTTTAGATAATCCAACCTAATAATTAAACAGCAATATAATCTTAAATTTATGACTACAATGATCATAGTAAACTGCGATCATTACTGAAATTAATAGTAACCAATTCAGCTTTTAGATTACGTTGTCTTGTTTATGAAGCAATTTAAAATAAATATTTAGTTAGCAATTACAACTGCAAAACTTCAAAAACCAAAATAAAGAGGGTATTTTTTAAAAAGTAGTCTAAAGAGACATCGCTTACTGAAAAGTTAAGTTACATTAAAGTCGCACAATATGGAATGAGTCAGTTTTATCTGTGTGTTTGCTTTCCTGTTCAGTTATTTATTTTGCATCAAAATTTGATTGAGTGCATTTGTGCAATGGGCAGAAACATGTGGATGCTTAATAAACGTGCAACATATTTCTGAGGTCAGTGGACTGAGAAAAGGAATCGACATTATTGATATAGATACATAATTGTTAAAAAAAACACAAATGGAACCTACTTGTTTGGGTATTTGCGGAAGATGTCTTTGATTACTACTATGGCTTCCTGCACAACGTAATTTACCTTTGTTTGAATGAGGTCAAGGAGTGTGCTCACACAGCGCTCTGCTGATTGCTGAAACAAACCAGTTATTAAGTTAGTGTTTACTGCAGACAGTTTGCCTTCAAATGAAAAAAGACAATTATCAGTCATTACTGCCATTGTTTTATATCTTAACGCACGTCAACTTTCTCATTCCAATGTCTACGCAAGTTAGTTAAAATTCTTGAGGCAGACTTAAAATGGAATCAAAGATTAACAGAAATTTTAACTCACTCTTACTGGGGTACTGGCAATGCTGATTTAAAAGAAATACTTTGTATCACTTCATTAAAACTGAATTAAATTAAAATTTGTAATAAAATATATTATCAGAGCACAAGTTACCAAACTGAAGTTTTGGCACTGCATCAATTAGTATAATTGAATTGAGTCCTTGACACAAAAACAGGCTAATTAGATCATTACTCCTGGCTAGTGATGGGCTTGGAAGCCAGTAACTATTTCACATCATGTGTATTCTTGATTGAGAAAATATTGAATTACAAGTCTGATCTGTGATTTCCTACCATACAAGCTTTAATATTTAGCATTTATTCCTTACCTCAACTTTAATAGCACACCGTCCAATTGCACGCACAGCCTTCCGTACAAAGTCAACATCTACTTCTGTTGCATATTCCTTCAATTCTGCCAAAACCTGCATGTTGGAATAACTAATGTGAGCTGGTCAAAAACTCCATGCAATCATAAATCAACTGGGTTAATAGTTTATGTCACAGGATAATTAAAACATTTTGTGGTAAAATCTGTCCTCTTATTAGGATCTTGCATAATCTCCAAATTTGCAAATGTAATGATAGCCTCAATGTAATTTGGCAATGTTTTTCGAAATACAGGCACAGCATTTAATACACCAATGCTAGTCTAGCCTCCAGATTAAATTTCCAAATTAGATTTCAAGAAAGTGACTAGCCCATAAAAGCTGGTTTAAAAAAGCTAAATACTTCATCTGAGTTGATATCTTTTATTTTGTCTCAAAGTTGCCCTACTGACTTCTACAAGTTATAAAGCAACATTTACCTCTCAAATACATCATGATAAATAAATTATCGATAACCTTCTTGACAAGTTTAAAAATCCATTCTTAACAGTTAACTTCATATAATTTAGAGATCCTAGTGTTTTGGTTGTACAAAGACTTTTTTCATGAGGAAGAAACTAACAAATCAAATCAGTTTAAGAGCACAAGAATGCATACAATAACTATGGCCTAATTGCTATGGGAATTGATTGAAAAATTATGCTTTGAGACAAATGGAACTGTCAGCTTGTCATTGCTGTTAGCAAAATAAATTCATTCATTAAAGACTATTGAAATGTCCAAGCGAGAAGAGATCAGGTTTCTCTCAAGTAATTTTAAGATCACTGTCATTAAAATTCCACGCAATCCAACATCACAATTATTCCAAAAAGAATTCCCCACAGCTGCATTTTATCATTGGACGGAAAAAGCAAACTGTAGCATAAATATCTGTAGTTAATGCAATAAAACTGTGAATAAACCAGTCACAACAAAATAGACTTAATAAAACAATAGGCAACCCAGATCTCACGTGCTTAGCTTTTCTGTGAATTCACCGGATACAGACAAATCTCATTAGAGCAACATAAAAATGAATATCAATTTGAAAGTAATAAACTTTTCTGCATTTCACAGGATGACTCAACATCCTTGCAAGTAACAAAAACAGAAGTTGCTGAAAAAGCTCAACAGGTCTGGCAGCATCTGTGAAGAAAAAAAGAGTTAACGTTTTGGGTCTGTTGACCCTTCCTCAGAACAGTTACACATATGAATGGAGGTCTGAAGGAGGGTCACCGGACCCAAAATGTTAACTGATTTTTTTTCTTCACAGATGCTGCCAAGACCTATTGAGCTTTTCCAGCAACTGCTGTTTTTGTTCCTGATTTACAGCAACTGTAGTTCTTTCGGTCTTTATCTTTGCAAGTAAAATCTACAGCAATTAAACGTCACTAAAATAAAACTATTCATTGTCAACTATTTATTGAAGTTGTCAACTTCACTGGGAAAATTATTCCAGTGTTCATAGCTAACAAAAAAAACCCACAAAAAAGCATGAAAAACAATCCCTGGTTGATGTCGATCGAATGTTTGAAAACAACTGTGTGGGAAGGGTGGGGCTCATGTTAGAAAACAGTTTGAACATTTATTGGGCTAAATAAAATGCAGTATTCCAAACACATCTCTTTCTAAATAAGATTTCAGCACATCAGTAAGTTTTCCAACAATCATACATAAAACATACTAAGTCTGAACAACAATCTAGAGTACAAGTAAAATGCAGCTGCATTCTTCAAAAATCAGACAAGGATGCTTCACTATTCATGCAATTTGAAAACAAAGTATTGTTAATGTATGACCATGGATTAAAAATTGAGCAGTTATTGAAGGCTGCTCTTCCATAAAAGAAGAGACATAATTCAAAAGCAAAATACTGCAGTTGCCTGAAATCTGAAACATATACGAATACTGGAAATTCCCAGGTCTGGTAGCAAGTACGGTAAGAGAAACAGAGCTTGTTAGGTTAACAAAGTTTCAAATTGACCTGAAGGCCATCTAAATTGTTAACTTTTTCTCTTCCCAAAGGTGCTGTCAGACACAAGTATTTCCACCATTTCATGATTAACGTATTTCAGACAGTACATTTCAAGTACTAACCTGTGCAATGTTGGCCTGAGAAGCCAAGCGAATCATAATGTCCAGTTTTTCCAGTTTCACATAAATTGGATCATTGTATTTTACAAAGAAAACCTTCATTTCATGCTTAAGAATCTCAGGCCTATTTGGAAAAAAAACAAAATCCTAGTATAAAAGTGACATTTCACTTTGTTCCTAATTCCTACAATGTCTCAAGTCCAGTTTTCAATAAACAAAATGTATGAAGTATGATTATGTATGGTAATTCATACAGTATGAGTAGACAGCATAAAGATATGCCACATGTATCTAATTTTAAATCATTTTGCAATAGGACCAGGGAACAGCGTGGATTTTTCCTAAAGACGCATTGTCGTTTATAAAAGTTGATAGCAGTTTAAATATGTTGTCATCTACTGCAGCATTTGGCATACTACTTTATTCCACTGCAGTGTTCTCTAATGCAATTTTCAGGAAATTATAGCACAGAAGTAAATTATTTGGCACTGCACTGTAACTCATTCATGCAAGTATTTCAGATGAATATCACTCCATTAGATTGCACATTAACTCTAAGAGCTAATGAAAATATGCATTGTCATGTTCACAAACTCTGTTTGAAACACTAACCAGTCTTTCGCTGTTCAGATGGCAAACTGATGTATATTTTCAATATTTCAAATTTACAGAATTTACAACCTTGCAAGGAAAAACTGCATTCACACTCTCTATACACTCGTCAATATATCAAATTGGGCAGTATGCACAGGGTAAACCATGTCAGAAATCAGCAGTCACAAACTTTCAACTGAAACATAAGGATTAAGCACTTTAACAGCAAGAAAAAATTCAATTTTAATATTTTCTGTGATTTTGTTAATATTAGTCTAACTCATAATTTGCAATTGAGACAGGCTTGCAATCTAGTTAGGATAAAGTATAAAGTGTCTTCAAATACAACAATATTAATGCATGCTTATTTTACACAAAACACACTGCATGTTGCAGGAAAAATGGGGACTGATGACATTTTCAAGGATTGAAATGGGATGTTACTTTGCAAAGAAGGATTCAAAGTTTTTTTGAAATGGTGGGAATAATGAAGGCAGTTTTGAAAAGGAGCATGAACCAGGTACAGTTACATTTAAAATACAATTGGATAGGTACATACTAAAAGTTGAGGGATAGATGCCAAACGCAGGCAAGTGGGGCTAGTTTAGTTTGGGAAACTTGGTCAAGGTGGACAGGTTGGACCGAAAGGTCTGTTTCTGTGCCATACGATTCTATGACCCTATTTATAATATTAACTGACTGGGGTCAGGAAAAGAATTTGTAGGAATGGAGTCATGCAAGATGAAGTAGGCTCCCAGGAGAAAGATGAGCCTAAAAATGTAAGGATTACACCCATCTCCAAAGTGATCCTAAAATAAATGAATATTTTGGCACAGGAGTGTGCAACACTTGATAGTATCCAGCTAGAAATGATTTTTGACTGAATTAGTCATAGGCCAGATTTTTTAAAACTTCATTCATGGGACCAAAGCATCACTGGCTAGGCCAGCATTTATTGGCTATCCCTAATTTCCCACAGGGTAGTTAAGAGTCAACCACATTGCTGTGGGTCTAGAATCACATGTAGGCCAGAGCAGGCAGGAAGGCAGTTTCCCTTCCTAAAGGACACTAGTGAACCAGATTTGTTTATCTGACGACTGACAATGAATTCATGTCATCATTAACTTTTAATTCCAGATGTTACTGAATTCAAATTCCACCACCTACCTTGGCAGGATTTGAAACTGGGTCCCCAGAACATTACCTGGATCACCTGGAATTACAGATCAGCAATGATACCACTAGGCCATTGCCTCCCAGAGCTCAAAGTGGGTAGTCATTAGCCCAAGAGGGATCAGAGGTTTGTTAGAAACATGGACATCAGTAGGCAGCACACCAAGAGAAGTCTGGTTCCCAATTAGAATTTTGAGGAGGTAGTAGGAACTGCAGATGCTGGAGAATCAGGGATACTGAGATAACAAGGTGTAGAGCTGGATGAACAAAGCAGGCCAAGAAGCATCAGAGGAGCAGGAAAGCCGACGTTTCAGCCCCCAACGCCAATATACCTATCCTTTCATTAAGGAAATTAACTGCACAAAATCGAAAATTGAGGCAACACTATTGGGAAGGGCCCCTAACTTACCAGTATAACAAAAACATGCTATTAGAACAGAGTTTAAAAGGGGAGTATCTTCACTGCAACTGAAGTGGTCTGTCAGGACTGTATTCAAATCTCTGCAGCTACGGTTGAGCATGACTTTCTGACTCAGAGACTAGTGTGCTACTCAATAACGGGAAACACCACCACTGGGAAAAAGTTTAATTCAGAACTGAATAGGCTTGCTGGATCCAAGCCAGAACACTGGGTGACTCAAACTTTATTGTCAGCTTCCTCCAAAGCAATAAGAAAAAGTCCTGAGAAAGGGACTCCATTCTTTATCGGCAAACTTTACAAAACTGAGCAAAGGGTCCACACCCAAAACCTTGACAACTTCAGATGATGTAAAGCTGATAGATTCCCAGCACTTGATTATTGTTTCATTTTCAGGATCATTTATTGAAGTACTGAAATCTATTCAATATGGTATTCAACAGGGAAATAATCCTTTTGGCAATAACTTGCATATGTACAGCATCTTTCACAGATCAAAATGTTCCAAGGTGTTTCACAGGTGTCCTAATCAAGCCATTTTGACACAGATACATTGGGTGAAAGAAGGGTCTAGGCCCGAAACGTCAGCTTTCCTGCTCCTCTGATGCTGCTTGGCCTGCTGTGTTCATCCAGCTCTACACCTTGTTATCTTAGAATTTTGAGGAGTAGTGTGCATGGCAAAGGATGTTGGTACTAGGAAATGAAACCTTAATGTCAGTAATATCAGCAACGAGCATCCCCAATCACAAACAGCATGATTAGATGGAGCATGAAGTCTCTTATGCACCAGTTTAAAATTTTCCATTCTCATAACAGAAATTTGATTCAGACATGCACAAAATGTAGCAAATGAGTTTACTTAAACAAATTGGCAAAAATAAAGCAGAATGAATTATTAAAATTAAAGGTGAATTAATTCCACAGCTTGAGGGCTTAATAAATTACTGCAAGTTAACTGACTGTGCATAAACCCATGCAAAATCCATTTAGTTTTAAAAAAGAAAAGACAAATGAGAGTTGAATTCCTATGAAATCTTTCATGTGTTCAGGACATCCCAAAACAGTTCAGAGTCAGTGAACTGTGAAATTATTTTATTGCATAATATTATAGAAAAAAAATAGCAAACTGTAGTCAGCAAGGTCCAACACACAGCAATCAAATGAATGACTAGCAAATCTGTTTGTTGGTAATAGTTAAGAACTGAATACCAGGTAGGAAGCCAAGAGAGTTTCCTGCTCATTAAAAAAAAACTAAGATCTTGCGCATCCAGTTGGGTACACAAGGCCCCACACAATAGGTGGCAAACTAAATCTCCACTTTTTGCAATAAAATGTCAGTGTATATTTTGTATTCATTTATTAGAATGAGAATTAAAAAGCCCAGGTTTTTGACTTGTTTTAAAATGTTAACATTTAACACCATAGAACAAATAAATGATAACTACAAGTGTTCAAATGGTAATATTTTTTCATAAATGTTGATGATTTAATAGTTTAGAACATGTATTCCTAGAAACCTAGATGCCTTATATCACAAATATTCCTTTTCAACAAAAACTAAGCAGCGATACATACCTTTTCTGTACAATGAGATTAATGTTCCTGAGGGCAACATATTGAAGCTCTGGTTCTGCAGACAGCAATGTTACAAGCGGGGGTGCCAGTTTCTTCAGCAAAGTGCCATAGTAATCCAAGTCCTTTGACAACATTTCCATGAATTTCATTAGGACTTTTACAGCCGACAGAACAACAGCTGAGTTAGCGTGAGATAAACGTGGTGTCACACGTTCGCAGATGCTATTACACAAGAGACTCTGGTTAAATTAAAGTCAAGGTTTAAAGTATCACAATTAGCACACTTTTCACATATTCTACTACACAGAATTGAAAGATTGATATTTCACCTGAGCAATAAATTTAACTCAATGAAATATATTGCCCAATTACTAGTTAAACGATGTAGATTGGTGTTGCAACTTCTACTTATTAAAAATCAAATAAGTTGCACATATTTTATTTGAAAGAATAAACATTTATAAATAGAGATAGTAAGAACTGCCGATGCTGGAGTCAGAGATAACAGTGTGGAGCTGGAGGAACACAGCAGACCAGGCGGCATCTGAGGAGCAGGAAAGCTGACGTTTTGGGTTGGGATCCTTCTTCAGAAATGGGTGAGGGGGAAGGGAGCTCTGAAATAAAGAGACAGCGGAGGGGTGGGGCTGGAGAAGGTAAGCGGGATGGTGATAGGTGCATGCAGGTAGTGAGGTGGGTCAGTGAGGTGGGAGGAGCAGATAAGTTGGAGAGAAGACGGACAGGTTGTGTCAGGTCAAGGAGGCGGGGATGAGAGGGAACGTTGGTCATGGGATGAGGCCGGGGGCGGGGAGAGATTTTGAAACTAGTGAGGTCCACATTGAGACCATTGGGTTGTAGGCTCCCAAGGCGGAATATAAGGTGCTGCTCCTCCAGTTTCTGGGTGGCATCGCTGTGACACTGGAGGCAGCCCAGGATGGACATGTCATTCAGGGAGTGGGAGGGGGAGTTGAAGCGGTTCGTGACTGGAAGGTGTTGTCGTTTGTCACGACAGAGCGCAGGTGCTCTATAAAGCAGTCTCTGAGCCTCCGCTTGGTCACACTGACGTAGAGGAGGCCACATCGGGAGCAGCGGATGCAACAGACCACATGTAGACCATAGTAGACTACTGCATCCGCTGCTCCTGACCAACCCTCCCTCTCATCCCCACCTCCGTGACCTGTCCATCTTCTCTCCCACCTATCTGCACCTCCCACCTCACTGACCAATCCCCACCACTACCTACCTGCACTCACCTATCACCATCCCATCTACCTTCCCCAGCCCCACCCCTCTTCTCTATTTATTTCAGAAGGGTCCCGACCCGAAACGTCAGCTTCTCTGCTCTTCTGATGCTGCTTGGCCTGCTGTGTTCCTCCAGCTCCACACTGTTATTAACATTTATAAATACAATTTTTTTACCAATATATTGTTAAAATTGGAACTAAATGTATAAACATTCCAAACAAGAGTATAACAGATAATTTTTTGCAACGCAAGAAAATACTTTATTCTACCACAGTTTTACCTTTGAGCCTCCCTGTCATCTTTTGGATTATAGTTGGCTAAACAATCCAAGATAAATATCTGTCCCCATTCAGTACATTCATTTAAGGCTGTTAAAAGTTTGTTGATAGTCTGAGGGTTGAGGTCCAATAAGTTGCTATTTGGATGGGACTCTGCAATCTCTGACAGAGCTGCCACAGCATTTGCTACCACCTGCAGATCAAGAGTGTTCAGGTAATTTAGTTAAAAAAGCACCTTCATGTCAAAATGACTCAAAGAAATTACTCCAAACATGTATAAATTGAAATATACAAATTGATCAGAAGAAACAGCACAGGCTTAATTTTAACAATTTCTTGCAAAGACTGAGGATGTCATCTAAAATAAGAATCCCTGAATTTTTCAATTTTCAAATGATTGGATTCTGTCATACCTATAAATATGACAATATCTTCTGCGTACAGTAGTGTATATTGCCTGTAGACAGCACACTCAAACATTATCACACTTTCAATGATAACAGTCCTACTGATAAATTAGCACAAGCAATGGCAGGGGAAGATTTGTTGACTATGTATTAGATACAGATTATTGGATAGAAGTGGGGTTCATTTAAAATCATAACATGCGCTTCAATTATTTGGCACTACCGAAAAACAGAATCAATGAGACATCAAGTACCACAATTATGTCCATGCAGTGAAGCTCATCACTTGGTTACAGAACCCAATTTTTTGAGCTTGAAAGTATAAATACTGTTGATAAAAGTGCAACTGATTCATTCTGTCTGCTCGGGAAGGAAACATGTCGTCCTTATCTGGTCTGGCCTATCGGTGACTACAGTACCACAACAATGCACTTGACCCTTAACTGTCTTCTGAAGTGGCCTAGCAAGCTATTCAGTTATATTAAATCAGTGCAACTTGGAATGGTTAATAAACACCATCTTAGTCAGTAGCACCTAAATTCAGAGATTGAATTAAAAAATGAAAATGCCAAAATCACAATAAATCACAAACATAACAAACAAGGAACCAAGAACAACTTGTTCTGAATAGCAAAAGCCCCTGGTCTAAAAATGTCAGTTGAGCCCAGATATTAAGACCCAGGGAGGCCATTTTATGCAAAGCGTTCATGAAAATAAATGAAAATGAGTTTTGTAATATAGCATTTTTTTCATCATCTTACCATAGATTTGTTAAGTCAACTTCCAGCAGCAACAATTTATTACTAGGTTAAACATCAACATGGTAATGTTGTTATTAATACTAATTTCAGCCACAGTGGAAGAGAAACTACAAAGCATTCCAGCAGCTTTCAATCTACACATAAAGGCATAAAACAAATAGATATTACAGGAGTAATTCAGCCACCAGAGCACACAATTCTTCTTCGCTACTGACAGGTGAAATGTTCCATATAATCCCTCTCCTTGTAACGATTTGTTGCTAGAACTTAAATATCCCATGTAGGTCATGGCTTTGCCCTTAAGCATGTAAACTTATGTTTTACTGAAATTTATGTACCCAAATGACATGTTAACGCATGGAAATTTAAAATAGGAGTATGACACTTCTTCATGATTAAAGAATCATACTGGAAAAACACCAGCTAGCAGGGATGTTGTGGCCATGATATGAACTACATATTTAGGTAGCAGTTGTGAATCTTCCTAATGAGTGCACTGTAAATTCTAATACTATGGAACATTGTCAGGTTTCTCTCCCCAGCCCTGACATTTACTTTAAAAGTTTTGTACAATTCATTACATGATAAACATATCTCAGACCACTCACACAAGATCAAAGTCACTAAGACGAGAAACTGCATAGGCTTATATTCTATATTGCAATATATTGCTACCCCATATTGAGGCAATTTATTGGCTGCTCACCTTACTCGTTAACCAATTGGATTACTCAATTTGTCTAAGCAAGTGCTATTTGCTTCAACAAAATTTGTCCATTTGTTTGCAAGGTTTCTTCCCTTTTTAGTTCATTCCTTCAGTAACAATTTCTAAGATTAATTTGGTCTTCTTTTTCTCTTCTTCAATCACTCGTCATTTGATGCTTTTACCATCCTGTCAATCTCCTCCAGTACATACCCTTGAACTTGCTCACCAGCTTTGAAAATAGCCGCAGCAGTTTGAGATGCTAGTAAAAAAAGATTTAAACGCCTAACCAGGATTAAAAGGTAACCTATCAAAGCTACATTTTTGATGACATGCACTTAGATAATTCAGTTTAAAAAAAAAACACATTTAATACAGGCCAAGACAGCTTCATAGAAAGTCATACCCCTACCCTAATGTATTCACAAGTGAAAGAGGCAACTATACATATTTGACACAGACCAGGACATAATGTTATTCCTCATCCTGATGCATTCAAATTACAGGAGGAACTGATCTATCAGCCAAAGGCTTTCAAGTTTGCAACTTTACCATGAAAAATCTTTTGGAAACGAATCACTCAATGGTGATTTGTTTGATTAAAATAATGATCCATTGATCAATAAAGAAAGCCTGGATGATTAAAAATATGAATTCACTGAAAGAGTCAGTGTTAGATATTATTATACAACATTCAGATTAAGGTGTTGTTCAAAATAATTTTTTAATGTACTGTAATGCAATTTCAGGCCTCCCATGTCAGTTCCAGTGGGCAGCTTAACAAGAAGCTTCATAGAATGGTTGGGAGATCATTTGCACAAACATCTTTGGCAGGAGAAGCTCAAAAGTGAGGAGCGGGTGGGGTGTTGTGATAAGATGATGCAGATGCAAACACAAATACCAATACTTCAGCATGGAAGCATTTCAACTAGCATTTTTTTTTTACAAAGCTGAATGCTTCAACTCGTAACTGCACGATAAGCTTGATCACCTTCTCCTTAACAGTATTCTACATTTAAATATTCTTTAATGCTCTCCAACATTCAATTCTAGTCTCCCTGCTACAGGAAAGATGTTGTTAAACTTGAAAGGGTTCAGAAAAGATTTGTAAGGATGTAGTCAGGGTTGGAAGGTTTGAGCAATTGGGAGAGGTCGAATAGGCTGGGACTGTTTTCCCTGGAGCATTGCAGGCTGAAGGGGTGACCTTGTAGAAGTTTATAAGGTCATGAGGGGCATGGATAGGGTGAATAGTCAAGGTTCCCCCCACCCCCCCAACCAGGGTAGGGGAGCAGGGGCCCAGAACTAGATGGTATAGGTTTAAGGTGAGAGGGGAAAGATTTAAAAGGGACCTAAGAGGCAACTTTTCCACACAGAGGGAGGTGCGTGTATGGAATTAGCTGCCAGACAAAGTAGTAGTGGCTGGTACAATTACAACATTTAAAAGTCATCTGGATGGGTATGTGAATTGGAATGGTTGAGAGTGTTACGGGCCAAGTGCTGGCAAATGGGACTAGATTAATTTAGGATATCTGGTTGGCATGGACGAATTGGACTGAAGGGTCTGTCTCTGTCTCTATGACTCTAATTTGGTAATGCATGCAGATCCAGTTGTGAATGTTGGCACATAATTGAACAACTCACTAGATGAGGCAGGTCCATGAATAACCCATCCTCAATTATGAAAGGGTCAAGCCCAGGAGGGCTCAGTACAAAAGATAAATCTGAAGCATTTGCAATAATTTTCAGTCAGAAGTCCTGAAAGAATGATCCATCACCTCCTCCTCCCGAAGTCTCCATCATTAATAGTATTACTCTTCAGACATTGCAATTCGCTCCATATGATATCAAGAAACAGATGCAGACACAGGATAGGGCAATGACTATGGGACCTGACAGCATTCTGTGCTTAGTACTGAAAATATGTACTCCAGAACTTGACATGCCCCTAACCAAGCTGTTTCAGCATAGCTACAATATACTGGCGAGTACATCATATAGAAAATTGCCCACATAGGTCCTGTACATAAAAAGTAGGACAAATGCAATCCAGCCAATAACCACCCCATCAGCATATGCTTGATCTTCAGCAAAGTGATGGGAAATCATCAAAACTGCTTTCTAGCAGCACTTGTCCAGCAATAAACTGCTCAGTTTGGGTTCCACCAAGGTACTCAGCTGCTGACTCATTACAATTTGGCTCAAACATGGACGAAAGTGCGAAAATCTAGAAGTGACACAATACTGACTATCCTTGACATCAAGTCCACATTTGACAGACTATGACATCCAGGAGCCAATGGGAATCCAGAGTCAATGGGAATCAAAGAGAAACACTCACGCTCTCTCTGCTGGTTGGAGTCACACCTAGCACAAAGAAAGATAGAGACCAGTCATCTCAGCTCCCAGACATCTCTGCAGTTCGTCATGGGGACACGGGGAGAGGGGTTTGATCCTCGGCCCATCTTCTGACCTTGAGAGAAGGTTGTTGAAGCAGCTGAAGTGGGGCTGTTCCGATTGTTGCACAACATTCGGCAACATTCTCAACTCCTCAAATACTGAAACAGTCCATATCCAAATGCACCAAGACTAGAACATTATCCAGGGTTTGGACAGACATGTGATATTCGTGCAACACAGGTGCCAGGCAATGACTGCTTCCAAAAAGACAGAATATAATCATCACTTGACATTCAACAGCATTACCATTGTGGACCTACCTACGGCAAATGGATCACAGTAGTTCAATAAGGCAAACTCACCATTTTCTCAAGGGCAACTAAGGATGTCCACATTCCTTGACTTTTTTTTTAGAAAGCTAGGAATGGGCAATAAATGCTGGTCCAGCCAGCGATGCCCTCATCTTATGTCCAAATTTAAAAGGTTCCAATTTTATATTTTAGACAAAACAAAACAAAACTGGAAGTTCTCACTATTTCAAACTGTTGTGCAGCTAATGTTTCTGAACTAGTGAAGCAGTTGGCAAGAATGTCTGATAGTTTAGATGATGCATCAACATTCTGTCAGACACACATCAAGATAAGCTACAACAGCAAATTGCAAGGTGCCATTTAACTCAACTGTCCCTGATGGAGCAAAAAAACATAAAAGCACTGCCTCCATGCACAATTGAAGCATTTCAAATTAGCAGAAAGCATGTTATCTGCAATGAATCACCGGTTCACAATGCTGTATTATTTAAGGATTCTTGAAGGATAGTAAGGAGCCAAGGCAGAATAGCAAGTTCATGTTTGTAACAAAACACTGTTGAGATGTTCAACACAATTAACTAAAATGGCAGTTAATTATCAGTATTTGGCACACATAGGATGGCACT